TGTGTATTCTTTTTCTTCATTTTTTAAAAAATTTAGTTAATAAAAAATAAAAAAGAGGAATAGTGCCTTATGGAGAGTGGTCTGGAAGTGTGAAGATGATGGGACTTGCTGCGATGGCCAAATTGACTTCTTTGATTAGAGAAAAGACAATAACTACGTTTATTGCTGCCTGGAAACCCCTTATGGATTTTTTGCATAAAACAGAAAAAAATGAACTTTTGATTTATGGTTTTGATGATAAGATAGGATAGATTATAGAAAGGAGAGAGCCATGATGTAACTTATAAGTTATAATTATATTTATAACTGCTGTAAAGAAGAAGATTGGAAGTCACTTCTTTGTATCTTTCCTTTCCTTTCTATTTTTCTTGTACTTTTTCTTTCTTTCTTGCACTTTCAGCTTCTTCTTTGATTTCTTTTTCTTTTTTTCTTCCTTACTTTATATTAATTTGTATTAGTTCTACCTTCATTTTTAAGACTTTTAAGAGAGTGGTCTGGAAGCACTGAGTGCTTTCATTCTGAGTTCAACACTGAAAGAAGTCAGTTAAAACAGAGGTAGGTAAACTTTGGGTGGCCTGAGACCACATATACCAATTTTTGGAGAGGTGAAAACCGCAGGGTTTGGATTTATTTATTTATTTGATTCAATCTATACAGATATCTATTTCAAACAAGTGTCCCAGGACATGATGGTGCAAAGTGGGTGGATCACAATATTTCCTTCCTTGTTGTGGTAAATTACACATAAGTAGTTGGTAATTTGCTGATTCTGATCTGGAAATAACCAGATTTCTGGAATTACACAATATGAAGGATCTTTACAGGACTCTGTTATGTGTGTCATGCCAACCTAGATGAAAATTAGGTTTTTTTGTTTGTTGAGTTTTCTTTTCTTTCTTTCTTTCTTTCTTTCTTTCTTTCTTTCTTTCTTTCTTTCTTTCTTGCCTATTGACTAATACTAGTAGTGGTGGAGGAGTGGGGTTATCCCCTAAGCCAGTGTTGTCCAAACTTGGCCCTAAGCTGTCAACTGAGCAACACAAACAGCATTAAAACCTAGCACAGAGGTGTCCAGTAGAAGCCACAATGATGTGCATTGTGACATCATCATGTAAATGAAGATAATTACATCATTTACATGATGATGTCATGACATTTGTAATATCACTTGCCCCCTCCTAATGTCCATACCAAACTGTAAATGGAGGCAAGAATGCTGTTGGATCTCTAACTGTGAGCAAAGATCTGTACCTTAAGAATCAGTCCTTAGGTTCCTTTCTGTCAATGCCCAAATCGCATTATTGTAAAAGTAAACTGAGACAGCATCTATGATATCCAGAATGCAACAGAGAAGGGAAGACATGGCAACAGGCAGCTGTCCGAGTAACAGTCTTCTGCATGGAGGAAAATAACATTGGGAGAAGTATGTTTTCTTTCACTCCTTTGGAATGACTTTGGAAACATTTAATCTATCCTCCTTATTGCACGATGAACAATGGTATTCCCAACTGACTGATTATCATAAATGTACTGGTGTGTGGGAGCAATTATTTCCTGATTTCCTGATTTCCTGTCTTCCTGCTTCACTGCCTGCCTGTATCGAAACTTATTTGGAGCATGCAAACTCAGCATGCACGCACAATAGGTTTTTAGAGCCCAAAATGGGATACAAAGATAATAGTGTGGCTACGACATTGGTGCACTAACTATGCAAACAGATAGACAATGTGGTCCTTAGTGTGAATAATATGCAGGGGAAGTGATGGCCTGAGAGCTTTAGGTGGCTGTATGGCCCTCTAGAAAAATTGCCTTGTATCTGACTTTTTTACAGTCAAACTCTACTTAAAGCTGGGATACACAACGCTTTATTATATTTGGCCTGGGCACAGCCTTACTCCATCCTGAGCTCCTCCTCTTTGCTGCTACCCTACAAATTCTGTACCTCTGCTACACTTAAATTATTTTGTGGAAGTGTCTCATATGGATGCTATGTTGCATTGGCTTTAGAAAGGATATTTAGAAGCAAGTTAGAAGGGTGAAAATCTCACCCTTCCAATTTGCTTCTAAATGTCTTTCTGAAGCCAGTGCAACATAGCTTCCATATGATGCACTGGCACAAAATAATTCTCATGTTCACATCGTGGGTCGAATTGATAGAATATGACTAAGATTCCAGAACTAGGTTGCAAAAGTCCCAAATAACCACTAGAGGGCAGCAGAAATTAGATTTTATCCATTTCTTCACTGCATCTGCTGGTCATTTAGATTTTTGCAGCCCAGTTCAGATAGCCCAAGTCATGGCCTTATGAGTTAGGCTCATACTGTTTTCTTCAGTGTGAAAAGCAGTAGAGTACCCGAGGAGGAAAAGCAAAAGGCTGGGCTCATACAATAAACTAAGCTGTAAAGTACTTTGCTTCATTTTGGCTGAATGGGTTGTGTGAATCCCACCTCAGTGGTTTGTAAACCATGGTTTAAAACTCAGCATATTATGTGACCCCAGCTAATCGTGATTCATTCAGGAAAGCAAGGTTCAGCGTACTACGGCTTAGTCTATTGTGTGAACTAAGCGAATTAAAGATGAAAATAGAGCCTAATTAATTTTGGTAAGGGGGAATTCAAGACAATGGTCAACTTGTATCTTCCTCATGTGTCTCCTCAGTCTAGTCTAGTGAAACAAATGAGGGCATGACATCATCCTATACCCATTTTTTCCCCACTGCTGCTTCCATTCATTGGTTTGCAAAAGGCTAGCAGGGAAAGGATGATCACAGTGATGTTATTATGTCATCTGTTCCTTTGCCTAAAAAGAGAGATGGCCTCAGGGGGGAGATCTAACCAAGCTTTCAGATGACTAAGAAAAGGAAATTCTGCTCTTGGTATCTCAGTAAGATTTTCTTTAACATCATCAGAAGTACAGAGATGAATGCTCAGCTAGCAAGATGGGTAGCTGTTTTTCTTTGCATTGCAGGTAGGTTTTGTTACATTTCTCTTGTATTGATTCCAAGGTAGAAGGATTAGGGCTAAGGACTAACTAGCAGAGTGGAAATATGAAGTTCCTAGGGTAGCTATCTCTTGTATAAGACACTCAGATTCAGCAGGAAACAAAATGGTCTAACAGTTATCTCCCTGATGCTTTGACCTGATGGTATAACCAGAACATTGCATTGATTTTCTTTAGGTTGGGGCATAGGGATTTCCACCTCCTTAACATTAAGCACAAAATACAGTAGTTTAATGTAAAAAGATAGGGGCCCCAATCCATTCTTAATTTCGCATAATAGAAAGGACATCCAGAAAAGAAACATAGGCAGGTTTACATAGGAGAAAGCTGTGTTCAAATCACTGGGATGTATTAAATACAGGTGCAAGTAGGCTTCAGTATGCATCCCTAGTTTATATCCAATCCCATCAAAGAAAATGAAACAAATTATATTCCTGAATTAGCTAACTTTTAATAAATTAATCCAAGAGTTAAAGCTAGCTGCCCTATTTTCCCTGCTATATGGAACTAGATGCCAAAGATCCACATAACTGAAATTAAAAAATGTGGATCGGCTGTTGTATAGCCTGCTAATTCCATTACAGATTACAGATTCTCATCTGAAAAATGATTTTTTTCTTTCTTCCAGACCACACCTTATTTTTTCTCATATGGTATATTCTTTTCCAGGAGGTTCAGATGCAGATATCACCCAACCACGGATCATGGTGTTGGAGGAAGGTCAGGATGCTAGGATGGAATGCACGCAAAACAATGGGCATTACAGCATGTTTTGGTTTCAGCAGCATAAACAGCAGCAGGATCTCCACCTCCTGTATAATTTCTATAACGGTAACATCCAACAGAAGGACTCATCTTTGCACCGTCTAAATGCTGATCAGCCCGAGAAGGGTCGCTCTTATCTGAGTATATCAGGTGTGAAACCAGAGGATTCAGCAGTGTACTTCTGTGCAAGCAGTGAAGCCACAGCACTTCAAAGTACTGTCTTCTTCCTTTAAAAATCTTCTCCATTTTTCTTTGTCTGTGAACTTCTTGCAGTTACAAAGAAACCTTGGGCTCCTCAGCCAGACTCAGCTACCTAATGATATCAACTAAACTGATAAACTGAACTCAAGCAATTTGAAGGCTGGATGGTCACATGCATGATTTTAAGGGACTGGAGATCCTATAATGGATAGGAGGTCATTGCTTATGTAGCCAAATGGAATTGTGTTACAAACTGAGGAAAAGCAAAGTGAGTTTGGAGATATATCATAAGAGCAACTGGGAATATATCTTCAAAAGGGTGCTCCTTTGAAGATTGCTAAGAAATTTCCTTCTTCCCTGAGATAGTTAAGGGCAGTAAAAGACAAGGTAGCTGCAAGTTAAGTAGGGTATCAGATCTTGGAAGCAGAAATCCAGACAATCACTAGATGGCAGCAAAGAGAAAGTGAAGCTAACTCTTTGCTGCCATCTTGTGGTCTTGTTTTAAATTCTGTATCTCTAAAGCAGAAATCATTTATGTTATATATATGTTCATGCAGTATTGTAGTTAAACAAAGATGCCATTGTTTCTAAACAGCTAGTCCTCGGATTAAACCGAAGCAGACTATAATAATTCTTCCCACCACAAGATACCACAGCAAAAGAATGTACAAGAAAGGAAATAAAACCAGGATGAGAATGGTTAAGGGTCTCATTTTGGGGGTGAAGCCACCTATCACCAGCTTACAAGAAATTATGCTACTTCTGACCAAATAAATTCAGTTTTGCCATACTGCCTTCTCATAACCTTTGGAAAAATCTCAATCTCAACTGATACTGTGTATCAACTGTATATGTGTCCTACATTTTTTCTTCCTAAATGTAATACCTTATATGCCTTCCTGTTCAAGGGCATCTTATTTCTCTCAGCCCAATCTTCCAATCTGTCCAGATTAGACTGCAATTTCATTCTGTCATCCTGGTGTTGGCCAGACCTCCCAATTTTGTGACATCTACAAACCAGATAAGCAGACCATCAGTCCCATCATCCAGGTCATTCATAAAAATGTTGAATAATAATGGCCGGAAGACTGATGATCCCCACTAGTTACTGCTCTCTAATGTAATGTAGAGCCATTAGTGCTGATTATTTGTGTGCAATTAAGCCAGCCTGTTGTGTGCAATTAAGCCAACCTTATTATAGTGCCATCCAAACCATACTTCAACAGTTTATCAATGAGAATGTCATGTGGAACATTATGGTTGTGGAAAGTTCACTGTAAAATCGGAGACCCCATGTGACAGGTGAAGAGTGACAGGATTCTCTCTGGGGTCCAAAGCCCATTCGGTCACAGATCCAGGTTTGAGATGGGTACTCAGTTTATGTTGTTTCAGCTGAAAAGGGGGCAAGGAGGGAAAGTGGAAATTGAGAATGTAGCGCCTCGACCCAACTGTTTTGCCCTGCACACCGTCACTGACTGTAGTGTCTGACCTTCAGATTGTGCCTCTTGGGAGTGATTCATGCATCTCAGCGTGTCAAGCTGCTAAACCTCCAGTTAAGCCCTGTCTGAGGGAAGGAGGACATTTTGGTCACAGAGAGAGGGATTCCAGTTTGGTCTCCAATAATGTTTCATTCATATTGTCATACAGTATAGTCATCCACCTAAATGCATGGGGGGAAAAAAACAATATAACCCTCAAGGATCAAAGGTAAGTTTTAGCAAGTTTGTGGCTGTCTATCTCTTGGAAGTTGGTAAGTCTTTATATTTTTATAGGTTGTAATTCTAGGAGAAATATTATTAAATTAAGTGGGATTCACATCTGAGTAGACACATGTATATTGTACTGCTAAATGGTCTAAGCTGAAAGATATTTTACAGGCTGCTTCCAATGAACATTTCTGCCCTTCCCAGGCTTCTCAAATGCCAAAATCAGCCAATCATGGAGTCTGGTGGTAGTTGCCAGGCTGGAGTGCAAGAAAACAAATGGGCCTAATATCATGGCCTGGTAGCAGCAGCACGAAGGGCAGGGTCTGCAGCTCCTCTATTACTTTCCTTATGAAAAACTAAGCCTAGAGAAGAAGCCTCCTTGATTCAAAGCTGAGAAGCCACAGAGTGGGTTCTGCAACTTGGTTATCCCCGCCCCTCCCCCCCCAGAGCAAGAGGATACAGCGGTGTATTTTGTGCAAGCAGTGAAAGTGTAGCCCCGCAACGTAACTTCATCTTTTGACAAAAACACTCCACGGCATTTCTGTCTCAGGCCTGGGTAGCAAGTGAGAATGATAAGCATTTCTAAATCCTGTGATTCTGTTATGAACCTATGGAAAGGCAAGTCAATATTGTAAAAATGCTGTTACATCTCCAGAAAGCACAATAAAAGAACTCTAAACCATGGTGTTCCTGGAACCTTCAACACTCAGAGGGGACTATCAGGAGCCCAAGAACTGGATAGTACATCTGTGCAGAAGTTGCACCCATTTCCATGACTCTCCTACTCAGTAAAAATCTAATACCATCCTGGGTGCAGCTGGCTTTATTATGGAAGCAGCAGAAGCCACTTCAAGCCACTAGTACCACCCTGTAGGAAGTGGTCCTTTGTATTGTTTTTGGCTAAGACATCTCCCCTACAGTCTGCATGGAAACAGTGTGCTTTGGAATCCTCTGCAGAGACGTGGTGCAGATTAGAAGAGTTACAAAATAATTTCCAGGGCAGGGAGGTTTGCTGTCCACAACTGCAAATATGTACTTTCAGTTCTTGAAAATAGCACAGGCTTATCGCTCTTAAATTTATGCCAAGATCCTGGGAAGAGAAAAGCTGACACAACCACGGGATTTGGCAAGATAAAGCCTGCAGGCAGGTATTTAGAACAGAAGCCTTATCAGCCAATTCTTCTCATAGGTCACCAAATGACCACTGGGAGAAATACCGTGAAGTTTCTCATGATCTTCTCTTGCCTGGGTGCAGCTCATGGGTCTTCTTATGCTGCTTACTCTTGTTCTCTTTCTCAGTTCTTCATTGCTCTATTCCAGTCATTTATTAGGGAGAACTGACACCATCCAACCAAATGTTTTGCATGCTGTGGGTAATTGCAAACCTCAGCTTGGATGGCCACCACTTGATTTCAAGGAACTGGTGACATTTTCTCACTGGGCCAGTAGCCCTCTCACATCATGACAAGAAATGTTTCTGAGATCTAAGGTTCTTTAACAAGAGACATCCACAGCTTGAACTAAGGATTTCGTGTTGCAAAGTATCTACTTTATCTTGAACTGCCATCTCAGAGATTTGTCTTTGGATTTGTAGTATTCCCATCTATTTGAAAAGCAGAAATTCCTGCTGTTGAACAAGGAAAACAGTTTTTCATATTATTTTCCTTCTGATAGTCCACAGAAATAATTCAGAGCCTACCTCCCACTTCCATCATCCTGGTGGCCTCTTTTAGCCATGCTGGCTGGGAATTCTGGCTGTTGCTTAATGTATCTCAGCTAAGCTTAGCTACCCTCAACCAGCTAAGTGAGGGTAGTTCTAATACAACCATTGATTGCTCTTTTGCTGTTTGCACATTTGCACTCTGAGTCTTAGATTGCTTTTCAGAGTTCTAGTCAATTTATGTTGAGTATCCTTATTACTATGTTTTAATGGAAGAAATGCTTTAAGTTTTCCGTAAAAATCCTTTACTCTAACAAGAGTAAATAGGGAAGACATGAACTCAGACTGTGCTCAATCCCACACTGATTGCATAGTTGGGCAAGACATACTTCAGCCCAACCACCCTTTAATAGGATTGTAGTTTGAGGTCAAGCACAATAAGAATATACAGTACACACTGAACTGTGCAATAGATAATATGCTTCTCCAGTTGAAATCAACATATCCAATACACTCTTTCCAGGAAAAACTACTGGGGTTTCCGCACTTTCGTCAGATGAGGGCTGTTGAGACTCAGAGATTCTGCTTTTCAGTGATGACACTGGTGATTTGGAACATACTTTTCCTAGACTAGCTCCTCTTTGGTAGCCTTCTACAAACTAGTTAAATGGGAGTTCTAGAGAATGTTTTGGTATTGACTGGATGGTGATAACTGTAATTGTTTTGGTAGTTTTTTTTTTTTTTGCTTAGTTTAATGTTTTTATTCATTGACAAGGACATTTTAATTATCATTGTGTATGATTTTTTGTCATTGTTACTGCTGGGAGACCTTGGAAATTATGGTGGCCAAACCAAACCAAACCAAACCAAACCAAACCAAACCAAACCAAACCAAACCAAACCAAGCAATAAATAAATGCTTTACTAAACTCACCATTTTTATTTTATTTATTTTTTGAGAGGCAGTTGATACTTTTTCTTGTTTTGAATTTTGGGTTATGGCAAGCTACTAACACTTGTATTTAGAATTTCCCTCCAGTAGCTAAACTCACTTTTTCAAGAGAGCCACGGTACCTGTGAAAATGCTGATAGTCCCGCTTAGTTTCCATTTGTAAATTTACATAATTCACAACATATATAGTGCAATGAAACAGGGGCAAAACAAATCAGAATGTATTTTTGGATATGATGCAATTATCAGTTTACTTCAGCTTTTGAGTCAAGAGATCGTAAGAATACATTTACTAATATGAAATACATTATTTTATCTCTGAAAATGTGTGCTGCTACCTTTGAACTTTTAAAATATATCAGAAGAGTAACTATTCTACTCAAGCATTGGAAATGTTATCTATCACTTAACTAACTTTCTTGAGATATCTGCCTTCTTTCAAATCAGTAATTTAGGATTATTGAGTTGAAAGACAAACATATAGTTTTAGAGTAAACAGCAGCAATAAAAAATTCTTATCACAGAGGACATTACGACTACTGTACATTTATTAAGCATGTGTATGCACTTCATTAAAGATGAGCTAAAGATGGAATCATATGTGGCCCATTCAGATCATCTGTTTTCAGACTAAAACACTGACTATGAATAGGCATTTAATGCGTTATGCTGCCGATCGTTTTCTTACACTGTCAAGTGGCAGCTTATCCACTGTTGGCAGTAGCAATGTGTTAGTCTACCATT